GTATGGGGAGAGCTGCAGTTAGTTTTCCAGATGGTTTACAGCATAGGACACAACAGACAGGTAAATAGGAGTGTGCTTTCCATCATGATGTTCAAGACCTTCCTAAGCCATCATGAGAATGAGCTATGTGTTCACAGCAGTGTCTCTGTGTGCTGTGCGACTCATAGATCATGACAAAACATCAGCAATCGAGTCACCTCAAGCTGCTTGCTGCCCTGAACAGGAGAGCTGGGACTGTGGGGATAGGGTTGTGGATATAGGTAGAGCTGCTCATCTGCTTCCACATCATGGCTTGCTGGGGATGGAGCCTGGGTGAGCAGCGATTTGACCCAGCGCTGTCTTAGAGATTACCGTGTACAATCTTCCCGATTCCTTGTTCAGTGATAACAATAGCTTAAACCCATCACACCGTGAGTATTTACACCACAGGAATTAGGAGCCATTACTACCACAGTTCAGGTTCTTATTCTCCAGAGCTGGTGATAGCCATTTCAGCAGCATGCCCCTGCCTTCACCTCACACCCTTGTCCTTCCAATCCCCACCAGGGTTTCCTATTGGACGCATCAAGCCAGAGATAATGGGTTGGGGAATATGTGATGCAGATATGGGGGCCAGACTGCAGGGTGCACAGCAGGGCAGGATGGAAAATGGATTAGTGGTAGGCCAGCACACACAGAAGGAAAATAACCAGCATATTTCTTCAGGATGGTGAGAGAGGTATTTAAAGCAGGAAACATGGAAGACCTTAGCAAGCCCTGAAGTGCATTTTGTATGTGTCTGTCCTTAATCTTCTTCCAAAGAGCTTCCAAGTTTAACAAAGTATCTCCTGGGGCTCCTGTCGCCGCAACACTGAGCAGCAGATGTCATGCTTTGCCCTCTGCCACACCTGTTTTGTGAGGACTGAAGATACCCTTCTCTTCCTTAGAATTCAGGAACTTCAAATTGAAGATGGAAGAGCACTGGTCAAGGTGGCAGGGCGGGCCGATCTCAGGTCTTGGTTCAGCTTGGTCTTGAGTCTTCCATGGATATAGAGTTTTCAGCTGGACAGTGACACTGTCACCAGCAAGCCGGACTCACGGTTCCCTGTGCAGCAAGGTGTTGTCACATGACTTAAGTTGCTGCCCATGAAAGGAAGTGTTAGCATGGTAGTCGCCAGGACCTTTTCTTAGAAGCCCTGAGCCAATGACAAATGTGTGTTGGGGTTGTTTGACATGTGTGCCCGCTGGTTTCCTCTCATCCTCCACTGGCCACATACATGGCCAGAGATGACGGCTGCTTTCTGGGACTGATGGAGAGGTGGAAGGCTAGAGGGAGCCTGGTTTGCCTGACTCAGCATAGCTATCACAACGAACCAGGACTCAACACTTGGTTGGGAGAACCAATGTGTACTGTGTTCAAGCCCCTGCTATTTGGGGTCTCCAGTCCCAGTCAGACTTTTTCCTAATCCACATACCAAGTCTTGGTGAGGCTGGTGAGCAGAAGGACTCTGGTGTAGCTGTGGGAGTGGACACTCACATCATCCTCTGCAGGGTGAGCAGCACTGGGGATGCCCTGGGCTCATCAGCTCGTAGCAGCATCACTGGAAGGGGTTGTTACTCCCCAGACAGCACTGCCCCATCTGGGCTGGCATGGTGTTTCCCACTATAGCCGTCTCTCCATCTCACCTTCTCTCTTTAGCCTACAGGTTTTATGTCACAGGTTTTAGCTGCACCGGGATTGTGGCACCTTGGGCATTATACCCAGGAGCTCATTTGAGAGACCATCAATGCTGACAGAGGATAAAGTCTTCTTTCACTGCCGTGGCGACTCCTGTTAGAACCTGAGGAGGAGATTTGCAGAGGTGAGAACTGAAGATATAGCTTCTTGGCACAAGAGGGAGTTGGGCAGATCCTCCTGTGAATTCTCTTGGAATAAGACAGAGCTGGGCACATCTTTGGTGGAATGTTCTTAGCACAAGAAAGCTGAGCAAATCCTCTTGTGGTTGTTCTTAGTGTTAGAGAAGGCTGGACACATCCTCCTGTGGATATTCACTCTTATCTTCTTGTGGAACAGTTGAGAGAACTGACTAGACAACATCCTGCAAAGGAGAAAGACAACTGGAAAAAGCGTGCCACTAAGCAGAGGCGAGGCAGGACTGTGTGTCCTGGCTAGGGACAGAGACCAGGTTTGAGGACCAGCCTTTGCAGCCTCAGGGAGGCTGGGTGGCCCTTGGAAGTGCTCACGACTTCTGGAACTGCCTCAGGACATTGGTTTGACTTCTGGTGCCCCACCAGACTGTGTGATTCTCATGCTGCATTTGTCAGTGCTGAAGGTTGGAACAGAAGCAAACTAAAAACATGAGTTTGCTTTAGCATAGCATTTGGTACATAATAATTATGCACAAACGTTACCTCCTGTGGCCTCCATAATGTGCCGGGCAGGTGAGAACACCTGGAAGTGTGCGCCATGATTAGGTCTGAGCTGGGTCACAGAGACCACTATGGAAGGAGACAGTGGGGTCCTGGTACAACAGAGTGGCTGATATGAACAAGTCAGCCTCAGGCCAGGACGCAGTTCACTTCTCTGAAAACTATGAGATTGGAACAGATGGTTACCATGGGGACATCAAGTCAAGTATTTGTTTGAGGGGGTGCAAAATGTTCACCACGGCCTCAGCATTGCCTTGTCCCCACCTCTCTGATTGGTTGCTGGGGTCTTGGTGGCTAGAGCTCAGCTCATACTAGGGGAGCCTCAGATACAAAGAACCAGGGGCAAAAATCCTCCCAGGGGCTTAGGAGTCCACCCATTGTGACATAAGCTCCCATTCCGTGACAGCGACAGGCATTCTCCACCTCCCTCCCTGGGTAACGAGGAGGCAGAGGAGGAGGAAGAGGAGGGGTTTTCTAGATGTGTCAAGCTTGTGAGCCTATAGAGAGCTGAGGAGTCAACCTCAGTTCCTTTAGCTCCTCAGAGAAAATGGCCAAAGGGAGGCGCTTCAACCCTCCTCTGGGCAAGGAAGGAACATGGGTAAGAAGGAGGCACTGCTGGGGGTGTTCTCACACTGAGTGGCTGGGCTCAAGGGCCCAGGACTGAGTCAGAGCCCTGCTGCTACCTACCCCAGCATGCCCTTTGATGAGTTCCTTCTCCTGGCTTGGTTCCTCAGCTGTGAGGTGGGAATCTCAGCTTTCTCGGGAAGACTGAATGAAATAATGCCTGGGAAACTGGGGTGATGGCTGAGGATACTCGCAATCCCTGTCCTGGAGTGGCTGAGGCAGGAGAATTGGGAGTTCTAGGCCCTCCTGGGCTACTTAACAAGACACAGTCTCAGAAAGATAGAAAGAGAAGGAAGGAAGGAGAAAGAAGAAAAGAAGGGAAGGGAGGAGGAAGGGAGGGACTAAGGGAAGAAGGAGGGAGGTGGGAAGGAAGGGAGGAAGGAAAGAAGGGAGAGAGGAAGGGAGAGGGAGATGCTCAGCACACTGGAAGGGCTCTTGTGGATGCTCTACCTTTTCTATTTCCCCACAGCTGTTTTTTTTTCTTTTTACTATTTTATATTATTTTTGTTTTTATGTGTATGTGTTTTTATGTGTATGTATGGAACAGATGGTTACCATGGGGACATGAAGTAAGTGCACCCATGTCGGGCGGAGGTCAGAAGAGGGCATCAGATTCCCTGGAACTAGAGTTTTGGATGGTTGTTAGCCACCATGTGGGTGCTGGGAACTGAACCTGGGTCCTCTGTAAGAGCAGCCAGTACTCTTAACCACTGAGTCATCTCTCCAGCCCCATGGCTGTCTTTTAACATCGTATACCTAACTGTACCTGGATTTGTCTCCTCTTCCTAGAATATAAGCTCCATGGGAGCCTTGATCTTTTTTCTTGAGGATGCTTCCTTGGACACACTCACTTTTTGTTGAAACAAGTGTTCTTATACTTGCAAACTCCTGTGGACTGGTAATCTGACTCCCATCACTCCAGATTATGAAATGGACAGAGCTCAGGAGGGCATCGTTTATCTGTCTTATCATTCCTGGATTTATACACTTGCCAGTCTCCCTGCCTTTTAGGAAGAATTGGGTCACACAATGTCATCCACACTGTCCTCAGACTCCTGGGTTCCAGGGATCCTCTTGAAAAGACCCCTCCGTCTTGACATCTCTTATAAGCATCCCAGTTTTGTGTCGTATTGTACCATCTTCTAGAAACACTCTCATCCCGTCCCCTTGTGAGGTCTCACCGTGTTGGCCCCACGACTTATTTGCACATTTCATGAGCTTCTGATTCTAAAACTCACTCACAAAAGGGGTGTCCTGGGGAATCCCTGTGTCCTCTTCCACACTCACAACCAAAGGTAGAATCTGACAAAAATCTAGTATTCCTTGATTCTAGGTAGTGATATGCGGACAACTGGAAAAATATTTTTTCTTTTTGTGTGTGGTATACATGCAGGTTCACATGTGGGTTGAAACCTGCATGTGTGTGGGTCCCAGATTGACATCAGGTATCTCCCTTGATCACTTTCTTCCTTATTTATTGAGGCCGAGTCTCACTTGAATGCAGAGCTCACAGACTGAGCTAGTCTAGGCAGTCATCTTGCTCCAAGGATGCACTGTCTCTGCCTCCTAAGTGATAGGGTTGCAGGTGGGTCTCCATGCCTGCCTGGCATCTATGTGGATGCTAGGGATCTGAGTTCTGGTCCTTGTGGGTGCAAAGCAAGCACTTTACTCAGTCATCTCTCCAGCCGCCAACTGAAATTTTTGTTTATTTAAAAGGAAAAAGAAAAAAAGGGGAAAGACTTTGGGAAATTATGTCTTTAGAATTTAATACACTGATTGCATCCACTTCAGCATCACCTTGGACTAAGACTAACGCTCATCATCTAATCCTGACCTCTTTCACTGTAAAATGAAACATACCTAAATTAGAGGGCTGTTGTGGGCTAATGAGATAATCCATTCAGAAGGACTCAGTGTCTGGCATGAGAAGGGTAACCATTCAACACTTCCTAACTACAGCATATGTAGATCATACATTCGTGTGTGTATAATATATATTATATACTAGTACATATTAATAAGATATACTCCACATACATATACAAACTGTACACTTTGCCTTCCTTATTAAGATCAAAAGTAATATACGAAATAGACACGATAAAATAGGAAAGTATAAATAAGATAAAAAGTTTTCTTTTTCTTTTTTTTTTTTTTGAGACAGAGTCTCCTTATAGCCCCAACTGCCTGAAACTCACTGTGTGGACCTCCATCTCAGAGATCGGCCTGCCTCTGCCTCTTGAGTGCTAGGATTAAAGGTGAGCACTACCATGCTCTACTTTAAAATCAGTTTAAACATATGTTAGAACAAGAAGCTAAGACTGGGAAAAATTTGACTCAAGTTTCCTGCAAGCCGAGCCAAAGTTGTAGATGCTTGACCGGTGCAGAGAAACTGAGATTAGACCAGGAGGCCCTGGCTTTGCTGCTCAGGAGCACTTTCACTGCCCTCCTGAGAGCCTTTCCTGGGAGCTCAGTGTTTGAAATTCACACAGAGTTTACATATGATAAGTGCTTGAGCCGTGCAAAACACATAGGTATTTTCCTATTATAGTAAGAAAGCACAGTGCGCCCAAGGTCGTGGTAACTGGGCCATTAACAGATCTCCTTCGATGCATACAAAGACAGGGGGAAGGGCATGACAACATGCTTCCAACATTCCAGAAACAAATGCCTTATCTGTCTACTCCCTGGGAACAGGCTCTCTCCCCTCTTCAAGGCTCTGCATCAACAAAGCCTGAAGAAGTCTGTTAATTCTTAGTGAGCCAAGTGCCAGGAGCCTGTTAACTGTTAGTGAGCAGAGCACTTTGTCCTTAAGGCACAAGGGTTGTGACTACACAAAGTAAAATGGGAAATAGTGTCAGTCACATAGTATGAACTGTTCAGGAGGAGAGGAATATGTTTCTCACACTAAGCAGCTTCCTCTCTTTCACTTGCAAATATCATTTAGGATTCCATTTGATTGACTATTATAACAAACTGACTAGAGGGCATGTCAGTGGCAGAGGATTTGTAATATGTGCCAGGCCCTGGGCTTGAGCACCAGCACTCAAAAACTCTGACTACAGTGTCTTAACCACATGAGGGTTTGTGTGTCTCAAGAAGGAACAGAATGCAGAAACACGAAGGATAGGGATGGGGGTCTGCTCCAGGGAGTGTTCAGAGCGTGGAGTGCTTTCCAGCCAGTAGTATTCATTCTCAGATAGGGCGAGTCTGTCTCCTGTTAGTAACACTTTGTATGGGGAAAACAAGAGGAAGCTCAAAGGACAACAAGACAGAAGGCACCTGGCTTTATATCAGAAAAACAGTAGTGTTCCCAGAAGCCTTGCCCCAAAGGCTTGTGCCTCAGACCCACTGGGTCTCCCCACCAATGTAGCTGCAAGGGAGCCAGAGAAGGTTTAGTTTTAAAAAACAAAGTAAATTGGTATTTCAAATGAAGTCAAGTTCTATTATGTAATCCATATGTCACAGGTAGAAGTTCATGTTCCCTTTGATCCCAAGTCCAGTAGAGCAGCCCGGTACCTGAGTCAGATGAGGGGGGCATGGCCTCCCCACACCCTAAACTTAACTTTAGGCTTTAGCAGGAATCCTTTCTGCTGTCAGCACCTAAGAGGATAAAAACCTGACCATGACATTTTCCATAGGAACTTTTGGCAAGTTAGGAGAAGGAAGGAAACGGTTGGCTCTGAGTCAGCTGTGGTGCATTTATGAGGACAGTAATTGTCCCATAGAGGAGACAGATATTTTTAAGCCGACCTTGCTTGTAATCTGGACGTTTCCAGGCAGGATAGGCTTTCTACTCCCCCCACATACTTTCACTTTTCTATTTAATATTTCAGTCACTGAGTGATTGAAGGCAGCAAAAATTTCACCACCAACTTGTTAAAAAGCTATATTTCACAGTTACAATATCTAACAGAAGGTTTTATTTCACTGCTATCACATTATAGCCATTAAATATATATTTTAAAAGAGTGAAATTAAAATTCTAGAGTCATTTTTTAAACAGGGATTTCATCCACAGACTTACAGAATACAAATGAACTCAAGACAGTTGTCGCTTAGCGGTGTGAGCCGTCATTTCCACTGCCAGAGCGGCTTCCCCACCAGCTTGGCCTCACAGGCTCCCCAAGGGAAGTGCAACTTAGTGGGATGGAGGAAGAGCAGAGAGAGGTCGATCACTTGGAGCCCCTTTGTATTATTTTTAGATTATGTGCACATGTGTGTCTATGTATATGAGTGTAGTGCTGGAGTTCCATACAGGCTGCTGTGAGCTGCCCAACATGGATGCCAGGAATCAAATTCAGTCCTCTGGAAGAGCAGTACACGCTCCTAGCCACTGAGCCATCTCTCTACCCCTCCCCACTCCCTACTTTGTTATATATATAAGTGTTTAGGTCTCAGTAAGTAAAGGCATTTACCACGCAAACCTGAGTTCAATACTTAGAATCCCATTAAGGTGGAAGGAGAGAACCAACTCCACGGTTGTCCTCTGCCCTCCACATGTGCGCTGTGGCATGTGTGCCTTACATACGCACACAGAGATAAGTCAGTAAAGTGCTTGCCTTAAAAGAATGAAGGCCTGAATTTGATTCCTAGAGATGAAGCCATGTAAAAAAGCCTGGTGTGGTGGTGCATACTTGTAATCCCAGCACTGGGCAGGTAGAGACAGGTGGGTTCCTGGGATTCATTGACCAGTCAGCCAAGCCTTACTTGGTGGGCCTCAGGTCCAAGTGAGAGACCCTGTCTCGAAAACATGCACCTGCCAGGCATGGTGGCACGTGCCTTTAATCCCTGCACTCAGGAGGCAGAGGCAGGCGGATCTCTGTGAGTTCAAGACCAGCCTGATCTACATAATGAGTTCCAAGCCAGCTGGGCTACAGGGAGACATTGTCTCAAAAAGACCCCCCCAAAAAAAAAGAAAAGAAAAAAAAGCACCTACAAACAGGCACACCTATGTATAATAATTATTTTAAAATGTTTTTAAAATTTAATACAGAACTAATTAGACATATATGTAAGTTGGCTGACAACTTTCTGGGGTTTGTTATGAGAAAAGCAAGGTGCACAACAGTATAGACAGCATGACTCACTTTCAGTAAAACATCATCATCATTCCTCATCACCTATATCATAGGAGGGCTCAGCCAGTCTGGTCTGGAGTGATGGTGCCGGTGAGAGGGAAGAGAGCACAGCCCAATGTTACTGATAATAAAAAGACATTCAATGCTTAGAAGTCACATTGACCACATCCTCTGGCCATATTTGTTCCTAAAAGTTCTGAGTATATTTTAATTATCATATGATCTATAAGATATAGCATACAAAAAATACCCATCTATAAAGATGCACATTCATAACAGGATATATAAAATACTAGCGCCAAAAGAGTTAAGGGGAGAAAGTAATATGATTTTAGGAGAATTTTATCACTCCCTCCCACTCTTTTGGTGGCACTGAGGGTGGAGTTCGTGCTAGGCAGGGGCTGTACCACTGAGTTATAGCCCTTGCTCTATTTTCACTTTTTATTTTTTGTTAATTATTTGAAAATTAGTGCATACATATTTTTGAGGATTTCATACATGAGAACTGTTCACATCATTTCCACGCTTCTCCCCCTCCCACCTTTCCCCCACTCCCTCTCAATTTCCTGACCTCTTCCTTAATTATTATTGCTCCATATTCACATGTATTACACACACAACCTACTTAGTGCAGTTTGTGGTGCTCTTATGTATATGTGTTTAGGGCTGAGCACTTGGGATTGGATAACCTACCAGGGAGTTCATCCCTGGAGAAAAGTGATTATCTCTTAGCAGTCATTGATGGCCTATAGGCCCTCATCTAGAGATGGAACCCTGTGGAATTTCCCCATCCATGTTGGCATGTCACCTGGGGTTGCCATTCTGTAGGTCTTGTTTAGGAAACCACGTTGTTGAGATTTCACGGGTGCAGTTTCTCTGTCATGTCTAGAAGACACTGTCTAGCAGCAGGTGTCCTGGTCCTCTGGCTCTGACAGTCTTCCCACCCCCTCTTCCTCAATGTTCCCTGAGCTGTAGGGATGGCAATGGGTTTGGAGACAAGGAGGGGGCAACTGTGAGCAGAACAGTTACTGACCAGCACTGGGTGCGCGCCCTTTCTCTTTTAATCAAACCTGCTGTTGAGCAGGTACCATTAATCCCCGTTTACTGTAAGGAAGTTGAGGCTTGAGAAAGAAATCTCATATGCCAGGTGTGGTGGCGCACGCCTTTAATCCCAGCACTCAGGAGGCAGAGGCAGGCGGATCTCTGTGAGTTCAAGGCCAGCCTGGTCTACATAGTGAGTTCCAGGCCAGCTGGGGCTACAGGGAGACCCTGTCTCAAAAAGACCAAAAGAGAAAAAAGGAAAAGTCTCATGCAGGAGGGTCAGCCAGTAGCAGGAGCAAGCACTGCATTTACAGCCTGGGTCCCAACCACCGCATGAGGCCAATTTCTCCCTCTATGGGAATTCTCAGCAAGAGTCAGGACTTGCTTTTGTTGGTTTTAGTTTTCGCTCATTGTTTCCTAAAGATTCCTATTCCAAAGCTTATTTTGTTGGCTTTCAAGAGTGTCACTCAAACAAAATTGGGGTGAGTTACTGTGGTCATCTAGTACAGTCACATCTGCCTTCAGAAACAAAGGATGCTGACAGTGTGGCCCTCACCAGCCACTCTAGGAGCCTGAGGGCTGCCTCCTGAAGTCCCCTCTTCAATGTCACCCTCTCTTCCTGGGCAGCCTGGGAATCCAGCCAAGCGTCAATTGGTTCAGGTGCACAACTTTCTTTCAACTCAGAGCAACTCCAACGGCCCAGGCCCAGAGCTCGTCAGAGGGTCAGCTGAGGTCCCTTTTCGGATCAGCTCCTCCTCTGCCCAGAGCTGTTTCCTCTCTTCTCTTTTCAGGGACACCCCAGGGGGCACCTGTGAGCAATCTTCCTCATCTCTGTTCTGGCTTCACTCTCTCTTCCACTCTTTGTCCCCCTCCACCACGTCTGTCCTCTACTGTCCTATGTTCCCATTGGAGAGTCAGTGGGTCTCTTGATCCTCACTTTCCCCTTGTTACAGAATCCGATTCAGATCTCTGGTACTAGGATTTGTTCACCCCTTACGATGTGGGCTGGGGGCTAGAGAGATGGCTCAGTAGCTAAGAGCACTGGCTGCTTTTGTAGAGGATCTGGGTTCAGTTCCCAGCACCCACATGGCAGCTAACAACCATCCATAACCCCAGTTCCAGGGGATCCAATGCCGTCTTCTGACCTCTGTGGGCATTGCATGAACATGGATTCATTTACACACATGCAGGCAAAACACTCATATACATAAAATAAAAAATAATAAATAAAATATTTTTTTAAAAAAGAACATGGAGCCGGGCATGGTGGCGCACGCCTTTAATCCCAGCACTCGGGAGGCAGAGGCAGGCGGATCTCTGTGAGTTCAAGGCCAGCCTGGTCTACAAAAAAGAACATGGAGCCGGGCATGGTGGCGCACGCCTTTAATCCCAGCACTCGGGAGGCAGAGGCAGGCAGATCTCTGTGAGTTCAAGGTCAGCCTGGTCTACATAGTGAGTTCCAGGACAGCTAGGGCTACAGAGAGACCCTGTCTCAAAAAGATTTAAAAAACAAAAACAAAAAAAAAGAACATGGACTGGATGCTATCCACCAAATACTGGGAGCTCCTGGTCAAAATAAGAGCTTAGACAACAGCTCTGTCATCTCCCTGTACCTCCTCTCACTCTCCAAGGGCCACATCATCCTCACCAGAAGGTGGAACATTTCCAGGCTCCCCAAGGCCCTACACAGGAGGCCCCAGTGGCTTGACGTGTTTGTGTCTTGGAAAGAATACTTGAAAGTTAGACAGATTTTACCATTCCCTTGCACGCCAGAAGCACCTACATTGTGTTTTAATCAAGCCTGATGCTTGGCACATAGAATCAATTGTACCTTGTTCTAATCAAGGCATATGTTGTGTTTCCAGTTCCCTCACATTGGACTAACAAAAAAGACACCAGAATCCATCACGAGTACCTCCTTGAAGGAAGCCCACTGTCCACATTTGTGTCAACAAGTGGAGGGCAGGCTGCCGCCAATATACAAAGTCCGGGAGAAGGTGAGGTGGAGCGTGGGTCCCAGATGAAGGCTCTTGGGGCTTTCGAATGGGGTGGTGTTAAGGCCTTTTGACCAGACAACTAACTCTTCCTTGTAAGGAGCTGCCCATTTACCATACCCAGCTCCCCATGTCAGGCTCACATGCTCTGCTAAGGACCTCCTGGTCCAGATAATGAGCTGGGCCCCCTCAAAGGAACCTGCAGCCACATTCTCGGGTCACCTTCCCACCAACTTCATGCGGGACTGCTGGGCCAGATTGCAGTGGTGTGAAGGAAGAGCAGGTTGAGTCTAACATCAGCCACACTCACCCTGGGCCTCAGCTCAGACCCCATGTTTCTAAGAGCCCAGCTTCAAGACTTCTAGGATCTGGTCGTCTTCTATGATCCTTATCAGTCAAAGCTGTCAAAGGTCTTTCCAGCTTTCAGTTCTGTGTGCCTGTCTACTTTTCCGTCCTTGTCTTCAAAGGCAATTTGAAGGAGAATTTTTCTGCTTTTCAGAAAGTTGGCCATAAGATTGAGTTTGGAAGCCCTTGTCTGTCCCGTGCTGTTTGTCCAGCCTGGGATGGGCTTCATCGCCTACTGAGGGTCCCTTTGTCCCTCCCCTTCCTTCCTCGTCGCTGTGCCCCTTTCTGCAGCTCTGACACGTGCAGTTCCCTCTTTCCCCTGTCTTCTCCAGCAAGCAGCAAACAACAGCTTCCCCTTCTCTCTGCATGACAACCGCCACAGTTTTGAGAACTCTGGACACTTCTTTGACGCTGTGAGTACGTCTCTCCAAATTAGTAGGGTCTTGGCTATAGCTCAGGGGTAGAACACTTGCTTATCATGTGTGAGACGGAGAGGGAGAACAAAGTCAAAACAACACAAGGTCTGCTTGACTAAGAATGACACTAGGTCACAAAACGAAGACCATCCCTCACCATTCTCAGAATTGTACGCAGCTTTCCAAAGCCTCACCAGCCTTCGGCCTCTGATCATGCATAGGTCAGCCTTACAGAGTGCCATCCCATGAATTGTCTTCTGAGATTCCAGGGGTTTCCTCTAGAGGCATCGAATTCCCCGACCCTGGGGAACTTACAGTCTGATGGTGCATATTCGCAGAGGTTCTCACAGCATCAGCATCCTGCAGTAGAAATACAAAACAAGCTGCAAGTGAATTTTCAATTTTCTAGTAATACAGGAAATTTAAAAGCAAGTGAAATAAATAAAAGAGATGGTCTACTTAGAAAAGTTCAAGTTTGTGAAATGAAAGTGATAGAAATTCAGTAGAAACTTCAAACTTAGAATTCAGTTCTTTGCTTATGTGGTTCATATGTAGTACAAGATATGAGCCATGTAATCACAAGGGGGGAAACTCTAGAGCTACACTGTATACTGTGTTGCTAAGCTAGGTCAGGTGAATTAGATGCATTAACAATTTTTTCATCGGTTTATTTTTATTTTGTGTGTATGAGTGTTTTGCGTGCATGTAAGTACATCATGAACTTGCAATTCCTGAGAAGGCCAGAAGAGGACATCAGATCTCCTTTAACTGGAGTTACTGATGGTTGTTAGCTACCGGAATGCTGAGAATTGAACCCAGGTCCACTTCAAGAGCACTCAGTACTCTTAACTGCTGAGCTATCTCTCCAGCCCCATAGATACATCTTTGACTCAGAATATTTTCAGCTTACATTGAGTTTATTGAAATGTAAGTCCAAGAGCTTTGCATATTTTATTTAACTCAGTATTTCCCCCAAATTGGCAATTCAACATGTAATGTGGCAATTAATATAAAATTATTTTTAGTGAATTATTTTTAATATTTTTTCTGCATGTGTGTGCATGCACATGTGGGCACAGGGGATAACTTGTGAGAGTCAGTTCTCTCTTTTCACTGTATGGGCTCCAGGGATCAAACTCAGGTCATGGGTTCAGTGTCAGGAGCCACCTCCATGGTCCCGTAAAAAATACAATGAGGTATTTTGCATTCCATTTCCAAACTGAATCTTTGGATCTACTTTGCAGGTTATTTATCTCAATTTAGACTGCTCACACTGACAATCTGAATAGCTAGTAGAGCCACCTCCATGGTCCCATAAAAAATACTAATGAGGTATTTTGCATTCCATTTCCAAACTGAATCTTTGAATCTACTTTATAGGTTATTTATCTCAATTTAGACTGCTCACACTGACAATCTGAATAGCTAGTGACCAGTGGCTGCTAGACTGAACATCACAGGTTGACATGTCTTAGGCAGACGATTGTGTCAAGTGAGCTCTGAGAACCCTTACCAAATGGAAAGCTCACCACGATGGCGGTGCTGTTAGTATCATCCCTCGTTTACTAAACCTTTGCTATGCTCCAGCATTTCATGTTACGTTGTCTAGCCCTCACAGGACCCTACAGGCTAATTTACTCTTATCCTTGATTTAGAAATGGGGAAACTGAGAACCAGTGGCATGAAACACCATGCCCAAAGAAACCTTTCCATCCACACCCCAGCGTCTTTTGTAAGCCTAAACAGCATCACCCAAAACCCTGCAGAGTCAGAATACCCACCCCATCTGCTTAATATGTTTTCTAATTTGTCAAGGTGACACGTGTCCAAGAAAGTAAAATAAAGGCTGGTGAGGTGACTCAGCAGTTAAGACCATGTCGTCACCCAAAACCCTGCAGAGTCAGAATACCCACCCCATCTGCTTAATACGTTTTCTCATTTGTCAAGGTGACACGTGTCCTTCAAGAAAGTAAAATAAAGGCTGGTGAGGTGACTCAGCAGTTAAGACCATGTCTGCTCTTGTAGAGGACCTGAGTTCAATTCCCAGTCCCCACTGGCTCACAGCTGCTTGGAACCCCAGATCCCAGGGATCTGGTGCCCTCTCCTGACCTCCTCTGGCACCTGCACTCACATGCACATACCCAGACACAAGGACACACACACATAATTAAAAATAAAACAAATCTCTTTTAAAAGTCGGTAATACAGAATTATATAAAATTAAAAATGAAATTTGCCCTCCATATCATCTTGTATTACTTTTTGATGTAAAGCAACTAATATTTATGCCATATTTTTTATTGTAATTGTAAATTATGAAAGATCCTTGAATTTTCTACAGATCTACAGTGACTAAAGTCACAGACAAGGGCAATCTTG